GACTGACATTTTCACATAATTCTGGAATATTGGATGACCACTTCCTGAGATTAAAGCCGCCTGCTTTTAATAGCTTAATGAGGTCGTCCTTCAACCTTTTTTCAAGGTCAGTGCAATGACAGCCATGGATTACATCATCCATATACAGGCTACTCCGTAAAACTGAAGCTGCTTGAGTCTTGGTCTAATATTTTTCTTCATCATCTGCCAACTGCTTCAGTGTCATCATTGCCAAATATGGCGCGGCCTTGGTGCCATATGTGACTGTAGTGAGTTGGTATTCCTGCAATGGTTCTTCTGGGTCATCTCGCCATATTATTTTTTGGTATTGTTGGTGTTCTTCTTTCAGCCAAATTTGGCGAAACATTTTTTCTATATCAGCTGTGTATGCAAACTGATATTGACCCCACTCCAAAATTAATTTTTGGAGATCTTGTTGTAGATTTGGGCCCTTGTGCATAAGATCATTAAGGCTCAACCCTGTCGAAGTTTTTGCCGAGACATTGAATACAACCCTGATTTTTGTAGTTGTTGACTCCGGGCGCTCGACACAATGGTGCGGCATGTAAAAGTCCGGTTTCTTGTTATCGGTAGCCGGTTTCATATGACCCAATGCCAAGTATTCTTGAATAAATAATTTATAATGTTCTGCGGTATTATTTTGTTTTGTGAATCGTCGTTCCAATTGTTTGAATTGCGCAATTGCTTTTTGTTTCGATGTGCCCAAGTCTTGTTCAATGTTTGACTTAAGGGGAAGTTTCACTTAGTATCTTCTATCCTCGCGTCTTGTGGTTGTTGATTTATACAAATCGATGCATGCTTGATCTTCTGACGTGAGAGTAGACTCTTGAGTAATGTCCTCGATCTCCTAAAACTGTTGGATGTTTTGTATATTATTCAGCAAAACATTGCACTGTAAAGTAACTTTATTAGCGCTTCCACTTAATATCCAACCAAATCGCGTTTGTTGGGCGATTGGCGAGTTATTGTTTTCTCTGCAAATTCCGTCTAAGATGATGTTTGAGTATACTTCTGCTCCCAGAAGTATATCTACCCGCCGACTTTTGTAGAATTCTGGATCTGCTAACTGTATATTTTCTAGGAATGACCATGACGGCTTGTCCAAGGTGTAGTTTGGTAAATTATTGATCAGAGTTTTCATTATGAGAGCTTCGGTATTAAGTGTGAAGTCGCTATTATTGGACTTGATTGTTAACTTGATCACGCCTTTACAATTATTTTCCTTTATGCCGATCCCCGTTATGACCTCTTTACACTGACTTCTAGGTAGTGATAGAAGTTGAGCTGCTTTCTCCGTGATAATTGAGGTCTGGGATCCTTGGTGCAGGAGTGCTCGGAGCTTGTAGTAAGAGCCATTGTTAGCTTGAACTTGAACAATAGCTGTAGCGAGCAGTATCTCTGGCACGTCGCGCTGCTGTGACACGTGCACACTGTTCTGGTTCTGCTGGACAGCATCTGCGCTGCTTGATGAGTGTTTCCCTGGTTAACCGTTCTTGATGAGCTAGGTTGATTCATGGTTTTAGATGTTACGAATGCTTCCTGCAATATTGTGTTGTGCTGACCTTGGCATTCGCGGCAGTGATTCTTAGAAATACACTTTCCTTGGTGATGGTTTAGGCAGTTTGAGCACAGCCGTAATCTTGATATGGTACTGCGTCTCTGCTGCGGCGTCATTGTTATAAGTTTTTGGCAAAAATATATTCCATGGCCATTGTTACAGAGCGGGCACGTGATTGTAAACTGATTACTTGTTTTTGCATTTGTTGGTTCTGGAACATTGTAGTTGGAATATACTTGGTATCTTGATTTATTGTGTTTCACCGGGACCTGATTTGATGATGGTTTTTGCGTGGTTGGTTCTTATTTTCTATGGGATGTTTCCAACGTAGTGAATTTTCCTTCCAGGAATGCCAAAAAAATTTGAGCATCGGTAACTCACGTGGTTGTTCTAGGGATTCATTATAATCATTGAATGTTTCGTTGTCCAATTTTTGTGACAGTAAGTGCACCAGCAATGGATCCCACGTACTGATATCAACACCTAAGTTTTTCACGGCGTTGAGTGTCTCCAGAGTGGTGTCATGAAGTCGCTTCTCTGGTTGATAGCTTTGTTGTTGTTCAGGAATATTCAATAAGCTGTTGATGTGCGAAGTAAAAATGAGTTTCTTGTTGTTGTATCTGTGGTTAAGAATTTCCCAGCAGATATTATAGTTTTCAGTGCTGATCGGAAGATGCTGCAAAAGCCTTGCTGCTTCGCCTTGCACCTTAAATTTAAGAAATTGCATTTTCTGTGCGTTTGATAATGATGGGTTATTATGGATAGTTTCAGTGAACAGGTCCTTGAATGATGTCCACTGATGATAATTTCCTACAAAAACAGGTATGTCCATCTGGGGGGTTGATTTTTCGCACTGACCACAGCTTGCTGTTGATGGATCGTTAGGTGGAATTATATAGTTGTTCATAATATGAAAAAGTGCTCTCATATTCTTGGTTGGCTCCTTGAACTTCACTGTCGATGTCCCAGTGCAGACTGTCGATAGCTGACCATCGCGACTGCAAAGAGCGGAGGAGATCTTCCAGCTCCCATTTCTCCGTCACATCGTCAAGATTTATGTTAGAAACTGTTGCTTGATTGCTTCTTGAATAATTCATCTGTCTTGCTGTTGGTTCCCTGGGACTCCGTTCTAAATGAATGTTGAGCTGCCGAAGTTGAGGGTGTACCCATTGGAGTTGCGGGTCTTAACAAGGGCGTTGAAGGTTTTGGTTGATGTTCCGACTTCGGTAAGTACGCTTTTATTGTAGCTGTTATATTCTCATAATTTGCCTTGGTTTTTTCATACGTATTGTTAGTAAAGTAAGCATGGGACTTGTCTGGAAAAGCGCAAAGTTCAACATGATTATCAAGAAATTCCTGCCAATACCCTTCTAAATTATTCAATCTTCGATTAATATAGTCGGGCGTCTTTCGCTCTTGACTATCTTTCTTGAAATTTACAAATATTTGATTAATGCCATCGATAATTTGTTGTTGATTTGCTAGGAGATTTTCCATGCTTGACATTACTTGGTGAAGGAGTTGATACGTTAAAACCTTGGTAAAAAATCACTTACTTGTTTTGCTTGTTTTTGAAAATACATTGATACGCTTGCTTGATACTTTGCTTTGCTTGTGAAATCATTCTGCTTGATGTGCTTGATGAATGCTTGTGCTTGGTGTGCTTGGAGAGTGCTTGCTTGCTTGTATGCTTGTTCTGGATTGGGTGCTTGGTAATGCTTATGCTTTTTTGAGAGTGCTTGCTTGGTGTGCTGGTGAATGCTTATGCTTGGTGTGCTTGGAGAGTGCTTGCTTGGTGTGCTTGGTGAATGCTTGCTTGGTTTGCTTGGTGAATGCTTGCTTGGTTTGCTTGATGAATGCTTCAAATTTGCTATGCTTGTGTTATTCTTAATATTCTCGGTTTTGTGCTTGGTGTTATTACTGGTTCTCAGTATATTTGACGACTCAGTACACGTAGAGCGCCGTCTCAATCCGGCTGGTGAGACCCGCTGGTGGGAGGCCAACCGAACCGATCGCACTGTACTTGAGACCCACAAAACACTGATCAGTTTCCTCGAAGGACCATAAAGATGTTTGGTCTTGGTATACCACACACCTTTTACTTGATCTGATGATGAATGATTTAAACACGATCTTGAGAAAAACAATGATTTATTGCGATTTCACAATACACGAAACTTGGTAAAAATATAAGATTGAGTCACGCGACCGTATTGGTAGGCAAACACAAACACACTACACGATAAAATATTAATGAATGAGGTCAGTCGCGCATAGTGTCAAATTACTAAAATGCTGACGCGGGAGAATGCACGGTGTTGCACCGTACACTTTCTCTCTTTCTCTCTCTGTCGCCTCCCGCCTGCTCGTACTCGACGAGGCCACCGCCAACGTCGACCCCAAGTCAGTGCGCGCATTGTATACTGCTACCTGTACCGTTACAGCTTAGCAAAAGTTCTCTTTCTCTCTCTCTCTCTCCCTCTCTCTGTCGCCTCCCGCTTGCTCGTGCTCGACGAGGCCACCGCCAAAATCGACCCCAAGTCAGTCTAGCATTGTATACTGCTACCTGTACCGTTACAGCTTAGCAAAAGTTCTCTCTCTCTCTCTCTCTCTATCTCTCTCTGTCGCCTCCCTCCTGCTCGTGCTCGACGAGGCCACCGCCAACGTCGACCCCAAGTCAGTGCGCGCATTGTGTACCGTCACCTCTACCGTTACAGCCTAGTAAAAGTTCTCTATTTTCTCTCTTTTCTCTCTCTATATCTCTCTCTCCTCTCATACTCTCCCTGTCGCCTCCCACCTGCTTGTACTCGACGAGGTCACCGCCAAATTCGAAACCAAGTCAGTGCAGGCATTGTGTACTGCTACCTCTACCGTTACAGCCTAGCAAAAGTTCTGTCTGTCGCCTCCCGCGTGCTCGTGCTCGACGAGGCCACACCCGACGTCGACCCAAAGTCAGTACGCGCATTGTGTACCACCACCTCTACCGTTACGGCCTAGCAAAAGATCTCTCTCTCTCTCTCACCCTCACCTCCCCCCTGCTCGTGCTGGGCGAGGCCTCCGCCAACGTCGTCCCCAAGTCAGTGCACGCATTGTGTACCGCCACTACACTACTTACCCTATATGTAATAAAAAACTTAATTCAATTTTCACAGGTCTACACGACGAAATAATCTTATAAAATAAATACTGTTTCGTTACAAATTTTTATTCGTTATTCTTAAGACTTAAATATTATATAAGTAACTAGCGATCCGACCGATTTCGCACGAGAGAATTCTGGATCTCGACAACAGCGCCACCTATCAATCTAACTGTGAATCTAAACCATTCATTCACGGACCTACTTAAACACACAAAACATTTCGTAAATATTGCTCCAGCCGTATATAGACGTTGCTAAAATTTCTAAGTTTGATTGCAGTACTGATGCCTTAATCCAGAAGTCAATACGCAAACACTTCGCCGAGTGCACAGTGATAACGGTGGCTCATCGATTGCACACTGTCGCCGACTCCGATCGAGTCGTCGTAAGTTTTGTACAACTGTCTTACGCACAACGTAAACGTTCCACATAAAATATCTTATCTAGGTCGACTTTCAGTGGATTTTTACTTTTTAAACAATTAATATCAAATTATTTCAAAAATATCCGAGAAATATTTTTCTAATTCAGTGAGTAATAGAATGGTCCAACAAATTATAAAACTCGTGTACTTGCCAATTAATTTCTAACTGACTTAAATTTTATGCAAAATAAAAAAAGAGTAAACATTTACTTTCTTAGGTCATGGAAGCCGGTCAGATTGTGGAAATAGGTCATCCACACGAGTTGCTACAGAAAAGTGACGGCTACTTCACCCGCATGGTGAAGCAATTGAGCCCCGCCTCGGAGAAGAGTCTGAGGGATCTAGCTAGCAATGCCTACGCACAACACATCAGATACGTGGACGCCGAAGAACAAGGCCAATCTATTAAATAATTTCGGATACTAAATTAATTATGCTAGGAAGCCCTAGGTCGTGATAGAAGATGGTTACCTATGGCAGCAGCTCTTTATTAGAGCAGAACGTTGTCTTTGCCTAGTTTACAAACTCATAACAATGTGATGGATAAGCATTTAACCAATAATAATCGTGATAGTTAAGCTGAAGTTATTTCAAATACGTTAATATAGTATATTTACTTATCATAGTTGAATGATCAAACAGCCCCGCGCTATAGTGCTAAGAACTCTGGCTGCGATTCCTCGCTTAATTACTGCAATAAGTTTAAGCCTGTAGGCGAAAAAAGAAACAAGTCCATGTAAATAAATTCACAGATAAATAGAAAATCTTTATTGCACTCAAAACAGTTTTGTACAAATGGCGTTAAGTTCGCCAGCTCACCTTTGGGAGTATGGTGAGAACACAGAAATCTAAACAATAAGGGAAGGTGCCTTATTGTTTAGATTTCTGTGGGTGAGAGCTAAGGGTAGAGCAGCAACAGAAAATAAAAAAGCTTATTTAATCATAGTTGTTTTGAAGGGCCTTAATGTTGATTATATTTACTCATTAATTTTTATAAATTATAAGAAAGTGTTCTTATGGTGCTCAACTTTTTTTTTACTATATCACGCACTAGGAACACTGCATATAAAGATAGGTATAGAATATAATATAAATGCCCTGGAGGCACATTCTTTTAAATTAATAATGTGATTGTATATTTGTGTAAACAATTACAAACCGTCAAATAGAAACATAACATCACAAGACTTGTGATTTGTACTTTTGTGCATATTTTTTGAGATTTATTGTACTTACTACGAATGCCACAAATATACATTATAGAAATAATTACATATTAAAATAATTTATAGCGACGCATTCAAATTGTCATAAATATTTTGATACCAATTGATTATTATTTATATTAAATAAATATGGTATTTTTTTAAAAGCCACGCCGGAAAATATACTTAATAGAACAAAAGTACAGTAGTAGTTGTACAGCGAGGTGAGATATTATTAACGTTGTAAACATTTTTGTGTAACAGGTGTTAGATGTTAATGAAGTTGGCCTAGTTGACTTTGTACAATCGTTACCACAAATATAAAACTAAAAAAGAATTTGAATGACTTCCCTATTTCGATGTTGCTGACATAACATACATTTTTTTATAATATTTAATTACCGTTAATGATTGCAGATGTCAAAGGCTAACCCCACCGAAATGTTTCAAAAAAGGTACATAAATACATACATAAACACACGCCTGTCACCCAGAGGGGTAGGCAGAGACTACAGACTTCCATTTGGCACGATCCTGACACACCTCTCTCGCCTCCTTCACATCCATATACCTACGCATACATGCTCGTCGGTTAAGGGTACTCCTAATTTGGCCCGTTTTTAATAAATCGCCAATTTGGTCGATAAATTTTCGCCTAGGACGTCCCTTTCCGACTCTGCCATTCACTTCTGCAACATAAATTTTCTTTGTCAGTCTTTCCTCATCCATTCTTTCCACATGACCAAACCACCGAAGCATTCCTTTCTTAATCCTGGTCACAACATCATCTTGCAAACCACACTCTTCTCTTATTACACAATTTCTTACCCTGTCATTCAGATTCAGCCCTAACATACTCCTTAACGACCGCATTTCTACTGCGTTCATTCTACTCTCGTGCTTCTTCTGCCACACCCAACTTTCACTACCATACGTTAAAGTAGGGACCAACATAGCATTGTGAATTGCCATACGTGCCTTTTTCGACACATTTTGACTCTTCACAATATAGTGTAGGGCCCCATTTACTCTATTTCCCGCATTCACTCGTCGTTCTATATCCTTATCATATCTCCCATCCCTGCTAAAGTACTGTTAAGGTCATACAACTAAAAAAATATTATAAAATATTTATGACAGACGTGTACCTTAAAACCATACTATAAGATTTTATATTAACTGTCACACTGTCTAGGAAAATGATTTTTAGTGAGAAGTATATTAAGCAGGTACTTAATGTGTGCCCACTTCAAAAACCTACCTGAGATACTTACAAATTGTACGTAATTATAAATGTAATGCGTATATATGTACTTTATTTTTATATATGACGAGCATTCATTAGGAAAAAGAAGCTCGTATAATCAGAAGTGCAAAACATTTTATATCAAAGTAATTTCAAACAAATTTAAAGAAAAGTGGTTTCATTTACTATACTGTACTGTTTCTAAAATTACCGTAGGCTGATAAATCTAAAATTAAATTTAAGAACTGTTATTTAAATAACATTTTTATTGTACTTTTGCTATAATTCATCAAAGTGTGCCTTTTAAAAAACATCCTTAATAGTTTCTGCATCCGCCATTACGCAGGAATTAAAATGGGTTAAAATTATAATTGTTAACCAAAACAGTGGTATAATATGAATATGCTGTGACGTATTGAAGGTATATACAATATGTAACGTAATTAACGCACACCCTCAGACACCCCAATTAGTATATTATATTATAATCATAATACATACACAGAATTTTTAGTTAAACATTTTTATGCACTGATTATTTATCAAATTAGTTATACTAATTCCGGAAGAATGTTGTGGTCACAGTACAAATCCACCGGCGCAAAGACTTTAACGTGCTTGAAATAAAGTTCATTTTTCTTTATTTTTATTGAATGACAGAATTAGTAATAATACAAATAAAACTGCACTCTTAAAAGTCTTATTGCCTTAAGATACGGTCCATTTCAGTTTGTTTTGACTGTACAGATTTAGTGTGACTGTAATTTACGTAGTTTTAATTATTTTTGGGATAAAAAATTACCTATATTAAAAATGATAGGAATCGATTCAGGAAACGATTCTGAACAAACTACTTTCTCAAAGTGCGTTAATTATGTTACATGTTGTATATGTTGTTACTTTACCTCATAGAAGAAGTAATCTTAGTACTTACCTATTCTGTTTTAAAGAAAATCCAATAATATCGTATTGTCGATATGAAATAGTTTAACTTTTTGAACTATTTTTTGTAAGTACTTAAAAGTTCTTTTGTAACTTAAAAAGATTAAAATTCTATTTTCAACTGCTAAAAATTATAGACGGTCAAATTTAAGTTTCTAGTTCCTTTTAGGTAATGTACCACCAGAAATTGTACTTCACTAATAACATAGAGTTAAATAAATTGTATTGTAAAACGCGTATTGTAAAAAAATTGTATTGTAAAGCGTATTTTGTTAAAAAAAAGTTACACTAACACTGGTGTATTTCATTTGCCTATTTAATTTACGGAAGGTATTATTTGCACGGAACTTATTACTTATATTACGTAGTAATTACCGCTATGGCGTCAATGATATTTATATATAAAAAAGATGGATTCGTTAATAACACGCCAAAACCGAAGCGTTGTAAGGCCGGCCACATACCTACATACGGAATTCCGTTTTGGAATTCAATTCGGGATTCCATACATACACGTCACACAAACGTTTTTTTTTCGTTCGGAATAACAAGGCTCAGTTGAGAGATGCTAGCCATCGAGTACAGATGAATAAAAGCCAGCCAGCGAATATGGACGACGATATTGCGGTTGCATCGTTACTGTTTCTACCTAAGAAGAAAACATATCGCCATCATTTATATAATTTTTCTGCATGTTTCTCAGTCTCATAAATAAACATCTAAATGCCAGCACATTAAGATGTTTTACAATTCCTTATAACATTTTTTTCGCGTAAATTATTTCTCAGACCTAATAATGATGTAAATCTATCTAATCTAGCAACTTATTATGATTATGTCATCTGAAATGAAAACAGGCATTTGATGAATAAGCAATCAAAATTATGTAAATACATTAATGCTAACTTTTGCACTTTATTAATGGGTGCGTTTGGCAGAAAAAAGCGCTAGCAAGCGCTTGTAAGCAAAATGGCGATCGTAAGCGGTAAGCGCTGTCAAATCGTAAGTAGCTATTTTCCTCCAGGACACGATGTTAGTTTTAACCGGGGAACCTAACCTAATTTAAATATATGTTTGTAAAGTATTCATATTAAAAACTTACCAATCATGAATTTTCAATAACATGAATATGTTTATTCACGTTATTATATTACTTAAAACTAATATTGCACAAAACAACTTAAAAACTCTACTTCAAAACAAACAAATTAAATAAGCAAAATGGCGGATTGTGTCAGCGCTACTGAAGTAGTATCGTGTCCTGGCCGAAAACTATTTCAGCGCTTGTAAGCGCTTGCTAGCGCTTTTTTCTGCCAAACGCACCCATTAACTTCTAATTTCGTTCAATTGTTTAAATACGTTATGTTATGTATCTTTGAACAACGGAGAATGGAATGATGTTCCCTGATCCGATACCAGATCCACAGGAATTAATCCTGTTTTTATTACCACCTCTAACACTTTCTCTACCATATTTTTAATATTAGTGTAGGTGTATGTAGCTCCTTATCCAAAGTAATGCGCTTATGGCACACAAAGAACTTCTGCAGTTCCTGAACTAAGCTGCTTCTATCTTGCACAATTAATATTTTTGACTTGAGTCCTAGGTCAGTCTATGGAAAACTATGTAATATAAAATTAATAGGCTTGCTTTCGCTGTGTATAACACAACAAGTATTATTCATGATGATAAATATAATCCTCCATTTACTAGATCACCTATTCACTTGGTCGTGCGACCCACACTGGGCGCGTTCCGTACAGAATTTACGAATGTATGTTGCGACTCATACAAAATCTATTGAAGACTTGCGTTTGGAGCGGATTTTTTCAGTGCGGGATTCCAAACACACCGGCGGTCATATGGAATCTCGAATCGAAGAAAATTCCGTACGAAAAATTACCGTACGTGTGTGGCGGGTCCTTGAATTTATATGGACTTGCTGCATTTGCAAACTCGAATCGGAATTCCGAAACAGAATCCCGAAACGGAACTCCGTATGTGACCGGCCTAAAGTGTTCTTTTTTTCGGTGGTTTGTAGGCATAAACGTATCTATAAAAATATCACTTCTTCAAAATTCAAGAGCACTACTACGTAGTGCGGGCTGCCCGCTGCAACAGCTCCCGCGAAAGGGTTTGTTTCACACAAATAAACGAGTGCCATTGCATGGCTGCACACACAGCAAAAATACACTCGAGTATATAAGGCCCGGTTTACATTTTGAGAAGTGAAAAGTGCGAGCAGCAAGTGTAACTGTCAAATGACAAGTGCTTAGTGCGTTATTTATTCCCACTTATCACTTGTCACTGCCTGTGCTAGCCCCGACTGCGTATGTTACCCTGGGTGCCTCGCGATTGTAGGTAATTATTTCACGCATTTAGCAAGAGTGACAGAGGGCTGGTAACAGTTAGTTCAGTATATTTTTCAAGATTAAAACAACCTACATAAATACAGTCCACTTAGCTCTCATCCATTACACAATAGTTTCTTTAAGTTTAATTAGTCAGAGAGATATTTCCAATTTTTGGTTTCTTCACAAAAGTAAACTACAATAAATAATTAGTCGAATACAGTCCACTTAGCTCTCCATCCACTACAATACCTATCGATGATAATCGTTAATAGCAGTGTTCCTTTTCAGGCTTACTTTACGTATTAATTTATAATTTTGTAACTAGTTGTGAGGTAATTTTTTCCTCACACTTGTAACCTCAAATATAGAAGATGTGTTACGACACCAGCCGGTGTCTTCACCATTCTCTGTGTACTACTGTAGGTAATGAATCACCATGAATAGCGGTGTAGATTTGCATGTGTTATACACACGCACACATTCTCAATACATATATTGTGCCGCAACAGCACATGAGTAAACAAACCGACCAGAGGGGAACAGTTGCGAAGCTTCTATACAAGCCCAAAAGCCCGGCTTGCCTTATTAAGATGAATCAATCAATTATATTAAGTAATAAAATAACTCGTAAACTGTTTCAAACTATTTCAAATTTCCCGCGCACTCTGTGCGACCTCGTAGCTTTACGAATACTCTTCACATATAAGGAGAGTTGAATTGAGCGATTGGTTTTCTCCCTCGCACGCGTGGGCTTTTTACCGGGTTTTCGAGAAGGCGATCGCTCCCTTTCTAACCTGTGGCAAAATGTTCTATAATGAAATATAACTACGATTGTATAAATAGCAATTAGTATGGAGCTAAAAAGCCCGGCTTTTTAGTGACCATTAATTTTTTCCTCAGAGCGGGACGCCTTTAAAATTATTATAGTTCTAACACTTTTGAATGCCTTCTTGGTCTAATGGCAGTAAACGCAATTGCTGATCATGTGGTCCCAAGTTCGAAACCCGAGTCGGGTCAAGAATCATTTATTGGGTTTTTCCGTCACAAAATTCTCAGTAGCAGTAGTATTACACTTATTGTATATGTTAGTATTATACTTACGCCATTATTAAAAATCAATCTGGAACCCTTTAATATAGTTTTATAAATAAAACACATATTGTTTGAGTCTTTTAATGATCAAAAGTGAATTCTAAACATCAAATAAATACTAATTGGAAATATCTTATGTTATTTGATAATTTATTGTAGATTAATTAAAAATTGTCGCTTTGTAACTTTAAATTCAAAAGTGTAGCTTTTCAGAATAATCACGTAACTAGACAAGCTATGCAAACCTGGTACGCGCGGTGTCATAATGATGGCACGGGTGACAGGGTTTGCGTGATTGTCACGCTTTTGTTTGTCAAAGCGGGACATTTTTACGTATTTTGGGGATAGCGCGACACAAACATTTAAATCGGGAACGTCCCGCCTAAAGTGGGACGCATGGTCACGTTAGGTATGAAGTTAGTCGAGAGGGGGAGCCGCGCGCGGCCGACGCCGACGAGCCGACGATATGTTAGCAAGTTCGTGTCACATTTCAATGTTTAGTGTTTACATTGTGTCAAAAAGTACTTCTACTTGGTGCATTGTGTGTTGAGCTTGAGCGAATGTATTGCGAGTTTAAAATGTATGCTTTTTTAAAATTTTTTAGTGAAAATGGAGGGAAAGAGTGTTCCTTGTAATGAATTGAAGTTTGTTAAAGTGCTAATTGGCGAGGAAAAGGTAAAATTTTTAAACTTTGTTGAGAAAAAACAGCTCATATCCTCGCCGAAACCAACGCCTGATCTGTGTATTTCTCAGACGAGTAAAACCCATAAACGGCAATTTAATAGATCTGTTTACAAAACTCATTGGATTGTTGGCTGCTCACATACCAATAAATTGTACTGTTGGTGTTGTATATTCTTTTCCAACGACAAAACGGCTTGGAACACTACTGGATATGACGATTTAAATAACTTATCTGGAGCCATTAAAAGGCATATGAATTCTCAAAAACACATGAATGCGGTAATTTCGTTTAGTAATTTTGGAAAAAATCGGATTGAAACATCTTTGTCGCGCCAGTTATCAGAGGAAATTATAAAACACAACATGCGTGTTGATCACAACCGTAGTGTTTTTCAAAGATTAGTAGATATTGTTTGCCATTTAGCACAACAAGAACTTCCTTTCAGAGGTCACGATGATTCGAAAACTTCATTAAATAGAGGCAATTTTTTAGAACTTGTATCGCTTCTTTCGAAATACGATCTTGTGTTAGAAAAGCATATGCAGCATCTACAAAGCGACAAACGGCCGATCTATTTATCTAGTACAATCCAAAATAACATTATTCATTCTGTCGCTTATGTAATGAAAACTCACATCGAGTACGAAGTAAAATTGTCAAAATTCGTTTCAATTATTATTGACGAAACTCCCGATGTTAGTCACAAATAGAAATTGTGTCTGATTCTCCGATATTATTATGGAAACGATATTCATAACCGTTTTTTGGGGTATGTAGATGTGTCTGAAAGTCAGCAGACACACTTTGTAATATCATATTGGAATTATTAAACAAACATGACTGCACCACAAAACTAGTTGCGCAAAGCTATGACGGCGCAAGTGTTATGTCCGGTGTCAGAAATGGAGTGCAACAAAAAAGTTAAAGATATTTGTCTCCAAGCCATGTATATTTGGTGTAATGCACATATTTTGGCATTAATTTTATCTAAATCTTGTAACAGGATTGGGGAAGTCAGCACTTTTTTTTCAGCCCTTCAGGCTTTATTTAATTTTTTTAATAACAGCGCAAAACGGTCGTCTTTTTATGATGCACATTGCAGCAAAAAATTGCCTAATGCCCCCGCAACTCGTTGGACGTATACGTCACGAATTGTGAATACAGTATTCGAACAAAAAGATAATCTAATTAATTTGTTTTCGGATATGTGCGACAATCCGCAGAACGGGGACGGCGACATGATCTTGGCCGCCGAGAATTTTGAAAACACATTTTGTTCATTTAATTTCATTTTTTTTTCAATCAATTTTCCAACGGGTATTTGAAAAAACCGACTGCTTGTACAATATTCTACAAAAATCACAAGTTGATGTCGGTTATTGCAGTCATAAAATAAAGGAGTTTCAGACATGGTTACGTCCTGAATTTCAGTCAGATTTTGATCACATTTATGAAAACACATTACAAAATACCTCTGCTCCTCGTTTGAGACGCAATGTGCGCTGTGCTCAGACAGAATATAAACGACTTTTTGTTGAAATAATTGATGACATATCTTCAGAAATTAATGGCCGATATTCTGAAATTTTCAAATTAAAATTTTTCCAATTGTTCAACAACAAACTATTCGAAAAATATCTTTCAGATTTTCCTTTAGAGGCATTAGATTCATTATTTGAAAATTACATAAACCATTTTGATAAACAAACATTGAAAAACCAATTGATTTCATTGTATTCCTCCCCTGAATTAAAAGAGCGCAATGTTTTCGAACTCGTTGACTTTATAAACGAAAATAGTCTTGAAGAGGCCTTTTCCCAACTTTTAAATGAATATAAAATGAATATACGTGAGTTTACATGAGAAAGACGTGTTACATGGCGCTCTTAGATTTTTATTCTAAAGTGGTGAAAAAGTTACCTTTTTTATTAGAAATATATACTAAAACGTTCAGCAGACTGAGAGCTTTTGTGTAGTGTAATTTAAACAATAAAATTTGGAATGAAAAGAGGTGAAAACATTGATTCAGTGAATCTTGTGTAGGGTACTGTGACATTTAATTTATAACTTCGATAGTGGAACACAAAAGACTAGACTTTGATCTCATAGTGTTATCGCGTGTTCCGACTGTGTACCAAACTATATGCTATTTTCGCCCGTTACTACTAATGTACTGTCAGCGTAGTGGATAGAGCTCGTTACGCATCGATTCGGGAAGACCCAAGATCGAATCACAAGGAAGGTTTTTTCTTTTCTATTATCTTTAAAAAAAAGGTTCCAATAAAAATTGGAAATATCTTATATTGAAAGTTAACATGGCAGCAAAAGGACACAAAAACCTTGTCTGGGGGTGTTGCTCGATTGGTCTGCAGGACCAGAACTATATGCAATGTACAGAATGCACCAAACTTTATCATTTTGAATGTCTGTCAATACCAAGCAATGAAGACGATCCTACCACGTCTACGTGGCTGTGCCCTCAATGTCATGGAACGCAAAAATTGGGTAATAATGATAACACCCCGGTTCGCTACAACCCAAATATAACTGTGAGAAAGAGACAAGCATTGAACTCCCCACCAAAGGCTTCAGATGAAAGGCCAATAACAAGGGATGAGATGCAAGAAATTATCAAGGACATAGTGACTCAATTCCAAAAGACAATGCGCATCACCATATCGGACATCCTAGGCACTGAACAAAAATCTTTGAAGGAGGAAATAGTGGATATGAAGGAGTCTATGAATTTCATGAATACAAAATATGAATCTATCACAAAGGAGCAGGCCAATGAAAAAATAAAACGCCTAGAGACGGAGAATGCACTGCAGTCAAAGGTTGAGGACTTGTCTAATCGATTTAATCAAATGGAACAAAATGCTAGAATGAATAACATTGAGATCCAATGTGTGCCCGAGAGGAAAGATGAGAACCTGTTGCACATCGTAACAGAACAAGGCAAAACAATTAATTGTCAAGTATCCACGGAACACTTAGCCCACTACACCCGTATTGCTAAACTAAATAAAGATTCCAGCCGCCCTAGGTCTATTGTAGTGAAATTTAACTCGCCGAGTATGAAGGACAAATTCTTGGCAGCAGTGATCAAATATAATAAACTGAAGCCTCAAGAAAGGTTAAACAGTTCTCACGCTGGTGTTTCCGGTGCTAAAACTCCAATTTTTATATGTGAACATCTCTCCACCCACAACAAGGCTCTCCATGCCGCAACAAGACAGGCGGCAAAGGACAAAGGTTATAAATATGTCTGGGTGAGAGGCGGTCGCATTTTCATGAGAAAGACTGAAGACTCTGAATTTAAAATCATCAGAAACATAGAGACACTTGACAAGTTGCCGTAGTTCCAAACCTAACTTATTATTTTTTTACATTTTGAATGTACCCTATTTTACCCATTTTAAAAGAGATAAGAATATATTACCAAAATGTTCGTGGGTTGCGTACGAAAACTCACAACCTTTTAAGGGAAGTCAATTGTAATAATTATGATGTAATAGTTTTAACTGAAACCTGGCTTAATAGTAGCGTTATGAGCAATGAGTTATTTGATGACAGATACGAGATATACAGAAGAGACCGGGAAAGTACGGGGGTTTCATGAGAATAAGGGTGGGGAGGAGTCTTAGTTGCGGTACTAAAAACTATCAAATCGGTTCGGAAGTTTGAATGGGAAAGTAAATGTGAAGACATTTGGGTGGTTTTGGATTTGAAAATTGAAAACTCTGTCCATCAAATAGCTCTTTGCAGTGTTTACTTACCACCTCCGGTGAACAGGCTAATGTTGGAGTATTTTGTAAAAAATTGTACCTCAGTCATAACAAGTAAATTTGATTCACACCTGTGCTTTATTGGTGATTTTAACTTAGGTAATATAAATTGGAGTTTGGTACGTGATTTGTCGAATAACTATGTTGCTCCTAGTCCAAGCCAAGCATTAATAGATTTAGTTCATCTTAACAAGCTTAATCAAATGAATAACGTTCTTGACAAATCGGACCGCTTGTTAGACCTTTTACTGACCAACCTATCATCGTCCATGTGTACAGTTGCAGGATCAGTTAATATCCTTAGTGTCGTAGATCCTCTACATCCCCCTCTCGAAATATTAATAAAAAGAAATACTGATACTGGACTACCGTATAACATCGATACTAAAATACACAATTTTAGGAAAGCCGATTATACTCAAATCCGCCTTTGTTTAGCCGAATATGACTGGAATGAAATGTTTCATAACCTGAATGTTAATGAGATGACAAACTTATTTTATGACATAATTAATAATTTAATATAATATAAATATGTGCCCTACAAAAAAATAAAAAATAATTCTTCTCCTCCTTGGTTTAATGTTTCATTAAAGAGAATGTTACGTGAAAAGGAGAACATAAGAAAGCGGTATAAAAAATATAGGAATCACATGGACGAGGTTGAGTTGCGGGTACTTAATAAGCGTTGATGCACACTAGCAAATCAATCTTATAAAAATTATATAAAGAAGACAGAAGATAGTATTAAGTCGAACCCTAAACTTTTTCGGTCATTTATTAAGGCAAAGAAGTACGGGAAAAGTAATTATCCTTGTACAATGACTGATGGTATTAAGAAGTCATCTAGTCCTAGGGAAATCTGCGACTTATTTGCGTACTACTTTGGAGCTGTGTATAATTCTCAAGATAACGTAAACTCAGACTTGAATGTCAGCTAATGGAATTTGATTTGCAATTACAGCCTTGAACTAACTGCTCCCTACCTTAGCAAGGATCAGATACTGAAGAGCATGAAGTCCCTAGATCTTAATAAGGGCCCAGGACCAGATTGTGTCCCTCCTTTATTTATTAGGCATGTGCGGATGAGCTAGTGACGCCTATATATCTAATTTTTAAGAAGTCTCTTCAATCCGGCCTATTTCTTGATGTTTGGAAGTCTGCCAAATTTGTTCCCATTCACAAGGCCGATAACGTCGAGCTGGTAGGTAATTATAGGCCTATTTCAATACTGTCAATTTTAAGTAAAATATTTGAATCTCTTGTTTATCCTGTGCTGCAGAACCACTTGAATCATTATCTTACTGAGTGGCAGCACGGTTTTGTTAGATTTAGGTCAACCTGTTCCAATCTGACCTTGTTTACTGAAACTTTGGTAGAAGCAGTAGATAACGGTAGGGATGTTGATGTAATATATACAGACCTTAGTAAGGCATTCGACAAAGTACCTCATAATATTCTTATATCTAAATTGTGTGCATATGGTATTACTGGCTCATTATTGGGATAGTTGCAGTCGTATCTGGATAATTGTAGTTGTAGTGTGGTCGTTAATGGTTTTGAGTCTGCACCATACAAAATTACGTCGGGGGTTCCTCAGGGATCACATTTAGGTCCTCTGCTTTTCAACACCTTCATCAATGACATCCCTAGTTGCTTCCAGTTCTCCACACCATTTATGTATGCCGATGATTTGAAATTGGTTGGCATCCGCGAAACTCTAGAGGACATCGAACAGTTTTAAAGTGATGTTGACCGTATGGTAAATTGGTGTCAAGACAATGGTATGTACCTGAACATAAACAAGTGCTACCATATGAAATTCAGTAGAAAGATCAAGTCACTGAACACATCATACAAAATTAATGGCCACATCATTAAGAAAACAGAGGAAGTCAGAGACCTGGGAATAGTGTTCGATAAAAAATTAACCTTCGTTCCCCACATCGAGAATATTACAAAAAGGGCGTATAGAATGCTAGGCTTTGTTTTGCGTAACGCTAAAGTGTTTAAAAATAATCACATTAAGATCCTACTGTACAACATCCTCGTACGAAGCATACTTGAGTATTGCAGTGTAGTATGGAGGCCACATTACGCGACACACTCCTTACGATTGGAACGTCTGCAAAAAAAGTTCATGACAAATTTGGCCTATTGGCATGGGATTCACAAAAAAATTCGGTCTTACGAAAAACGATTAAGATTCTTTAAAATTTTATCCCTGGAAAATCGGAGAAATTTGCTTGACCTGTCATTTCTTGTAAAAATTTTTAATCAAAAAATTAACTGTCCCCTCTTGCTCCAAAAATTTAAATTTCGTGTTCCATTGAGAATTAAGCGCCCCTATTACTCCACTTCGCCCTCCTTTTAGAAAATCTGTCTTAGGTGCAAACTCCCCAATTCCAAGGTTGTGCAAATTGGTCAATGGACATAGTGACAAAGTTGACATTCACGCCGACTCATTTGCCAAAATTAAGGAAGTTCTAGCTTTAGCCTGGTCTGAAACCAACAAATAAATAATAATAGCTTTTACCACGTACTTTTTTCATTATTAGGTAATTTATAGTTTTTTTATTCGTATTTATAATCTTTCTCGATGCATGTGGTGTTTACCTTAAACAATTGTTACACTTAGCTACGTAAGTTAGTTCTTAAGCCATTTTGTTAAATACAGTGTAATCAAACATTGGTAAACCTTAATAAATTAAAAAAAAAGTTAGCTTATCTTGTAACTATTCCAACCACAAGTTCCTCCGCGGAACGTGCTTTCTCATCTCTGAAGCGCATCTATACTTATTTGAGAAATACACAAGGTCAAGAGCGTCTTTCAGACTTATCAATTATCGCGATTGAAAAACAGTTATTGGTACAATTAAAACGTTCACCAACATTTTACGCGGACGATTAAATCTTTCCTAAAGAAAGAGAGACAATTCGATTTAGAATATAAATAATTTGTTTTTTTAATTTTTGTACATAGTTTGTTTGTACTTTGTTCATGCTTTTCTTTTATTCATGTATTGTATTGTACGTAAACATCTTTTTTTTCGCTCAAGCAAACCCAAACGGCTTTTTTCAAAGCCACCGAAAGTATGCAATTGCTGATATGTCATACAATCTATCTAGCAGTAGTATGCCTTCGGTGTACTTTGTTAAACACGTCCTCGACAGAACTGATTATAAAACTGAAGAGTGGAGACAGATCATGGATACATGTATTTTTAAAACTGCTAAAAAAACAAAAGCATATCTTGGGCTTGCCCCAGTTTGGAGCCCTAGCTTCGCCACTATAGGGGAAGCTACATAGAAACGGCTCGCTGCGACTGTACCCACACGTAGCGCAGCGCATGTGCATGAGCTCTCACCGACAGGTTCACCGACGAGCGTCGGTGAACCTGTCGGTTTGCGCCGGCTCAGAGAGAATCCGCGAAAGAGCTGTTAGTCGTGCGCATTTAAATATATGGAAGAACAATATTCCGTGATTTTATAAATCAATAATTTTTTTTTCAATTAGAGTTATGTTTAGAGATTGTTTATTATAAAATAAGACATTATAAATTTATATAAGTAATTAATTAGTGTTCTGTTAATGCTTAACAGTTGTACAGTATGTATAAAAATTCGAGAGAAAATAATGAAGGCGGTGTTAGTGATAGTGGTGCTGATGTTGGTGGTAGTGGTGCTGGTGTTGATGGTGGTGCTTGTAGTATCGTTGACGGTGGTGGGTAGTGGACCACCACCAATACCACCACAACAACTAGCCACACCACCACAGTCATTACCACCACCACTACCACCATCAACATCACAACCACCACCACTGTCCACTACCACTATCACAGCCATTAGTCATTAGAAAAACAAAAACAAAAAATCTGGTGGTGGTACCACCTGATTTTTTGTACTAATGAATACGTTGTCTTACGAAAATGATATTGATAGAAATGTAATATAATATGAAGCTTCTGTGAGAACATCTATTTTATTAAAACTCTCTCTAAGGTATTCACGGTTTTTAATTATAAATTTCACGTATTTTCTCAATATTCGCCGCTTTACCCTACAGCAAGATTCCATAAGCCAAAATACTATGAAAATTAGCAAAATATACAATATTGGCAGTTTCAATTTAAGTTACAATAAATGGACATGTTATTATATTAATTAATTAATGTCCTCCAGACCGAATTTCGGTCACGGCGGCCTGCCTCAACGGAGACTAAGCATCAGCGTAGGACAGGATTATAGTACCCAAGTGTATGCGCAAGCACAGGTGCACTCTCTATTCCCTCACTCTCATAGTCCGATGGGACGATAAGCCGACACGACCGGAGAGAGATCAGGCGCAGGACCAACGGCTTTACGTGCTTTCCGAGGCACGGGTGTGAGACACCGCCAACTTCCTGACTCCGGACGGTTACTGAGAGTTTCTTGACGGAAAAAACTCAATAATTGATTTTTGGCTCGACCCGGGATTCGAACCCAGGACCTCATGATCAGCAGTCGCACTAATACAACCACTAGACTATCGAGACAGTTAAAACTGTATATATATTTAAGTAAAAATGTAATTTCACATGTTGTTTTATACTATACATATAATATTGTGTAACCCTATCAAAATAGGAAAACATTTTCAAAGTTGTTAGGAAGCTTCTCCTCTGGGTCTTACTCTGTGGCAACAGCACCAGAGCACATGAGTAAATAAACCGACCAGAGGGCAAGCTACATACAAACGGCTTGCTGCAGCGCAGCGATGTGTGCGTGAGTTCTCAACGACAGGTTCATCGACGCTCCGTCGGGTACCAACCAGTTTGTGCCGGCTCAGTCAGAGTATAAATGAAAGTGCTTTTAGTCGTACGCATTTAAATTTATGAAAGAACAATATTTCGTGACTTTATAAATCAATTTTGTTTACTATTGGAGCTAGGCTAGGTTTAGAAATTAGTACCCGGTTGACCGAGCTTTGTTCGGGATTTTTCGCTCAGTTTTTTTATAATTCGTGTGTTTTGGAAATTATATTTAGATACAAATTACATACTGATGAAATACGAATAATATTTTTTTGATCTTATCGACATAATAGAAAAAACTGAACTGGTTATTTGAATAAAAAATCATGAGTGCAATTAGTTTAATTTAAATTTTCGTGTTTTTAAAAAATACTAAAAAAAAGGGCTCGAAAAAATAGATTTTTTCAAAAAAGAAAGGAACTTGAAAAAAAAATTAAAAAAAGTCGGTCGGTCGGTCTGGGCTCGAACCATGGTATTACGGTTTTGTGACCGCCCAATATACCAATTAAGCTATTTGTAATCATTAACAAACTGTTAAAATTTACCTTCTTATTCTAACGATATTGTAGCAGTTTTTCATTGCCTAAAAACACGGACAAAAAGACATTTTCTAAAAATAAATCCTAGCTAGATCGATTTATTACCCCCGAAACTCCCAGCACACAAAATTTTATGAAAATCGTTGGAGCCGTTTCCGAGATTCCGATTATATATATACCTATAGTATATATATATAAAATATTAATAGTTTAATGATCATTATCAAAATATTCTTAGCTATTATAAAATGCTAAATAACAAATTATATTGCTTGTCACTCATACTCTGTCGACTTTCTTCATTTATTGTCTATTAAAATATTTCAAACAGGTATTTTCTGAAAAATGTTTTATACCTAGAGCCAGGCTGCAGCTATCTTAATTGTATAGTTGAAGAACGGGGAAGGACCACGCTCACACTGTACACCAGCGTAAAATAGCAGCTTAATGCTGCTGTGTTTCGTATGGTGAGTGTAGAGAACTGGATACCCTTTTTACTGGAAAAGAGGCATTCCATCTTAGTCCTGCTGCTGACAACGTATCTGCATTTTAATTCGTTTTTTTATACTATATATATAATGCATCGATAGATGTAGATGGCTATGG